GGGCGGGGGCGGGGGCGACGGCGGTGGCGGCGGCGGTGGTCGTGATGGTGGTGGTCGCAGTGGTAGTGGTAGTGGGCTTACAGTACTCGTGGTAATGGCAATAGTAATAGCAGGATAAATGGAGCACTGCCACTACGATGTCGTTCCCGAACTTGCACTATAGCCCAGATATCGATGACCATCTTGAAGCTGAACCTGTCCTCTGCCACGGTTCGGGCGTGCTTCTCCAACCTGGGCCATGTCACTTTGCCTACGCCTTGTGCTGTTTCCTAGGTGTTGGAGGACATGATGCAAAGAACCACTGCATTTAGCGGGGTGGCCAATCTTGGTACCTTGACCTCACTGAGCCCAGAAGAAACCCACTCAAAGAACTAAAGGACGTGGCCTGACATTTGTCAATGCTTCGGACAAGCTGAAAGTCGTCCCTTCGGCTGTACAACAACTAGATAAACCCGAGCATAAAAACACAGACTCATACGTCCTAACTCCGTTATAACCTTAAACCCTAGACTAAACAATAGACCTTCAACTCTATAATCCCCCTAAACAAAGGCATCCAAGCAGCTGGTGAATCAGAGAATTGGCTTGCATGAGGTATTGCACGCCAGCCTACCAATGGACTCTCAGGTCTAGGGTTCAGGAGTTATGTAGACTTGTGCCATATGGTAGTTTCCCTAAATAAGGGGACCCCAATGATGACATTAAATACTATGATCATTATTATGGGGGCCCCGAAATCGTACCTTTTTTTGGGAAACACCCATAAACAGCTGCTTCAGAACCAGCATTACTTTCGAGTAGTCACGTCCAAAGGGTTAAACACTAACAAGCAAGTCGAACTATTTTACATTCCTCCACGGAGTTGCGCTTGTCTTTTGGAAACAGTAGAAGACGCCCCTGCCCTGGAATTCACAGTGCATGAACTGAAGGATCTTAGACCTTTTCGGGTCATCATGCATCCAATAACATCGCATGATCTTCTACAGTTAGAGATCGAGAACGTTGCAACAAAAACTGCTAGTGCTCCGGACGTAAGGGAGGGTCCTTGTGTAAGTAGTTCGCATGAGAAACCACCATCTCCGTAGCTCATGCAGCGAGTTGTCAAGATTGGGAAGCTCAACCCTGCGGGTTTAGGCTGTGATCCTCCGAGACCTATATCAAATATACCAGGTTGACTAATCCCTGGGGATCCATGTATGTAAATAATCCCTACATTGGGCCCCAAAGTCTGTAAATATTACATACNNTGGGTTATTTGGATCCCTAGGGAATTCCTTGGGGTTATACTAGAGCAGAAATTACAATAAATGCCAAGGAAATATGGGTAGGGTTCAGAGCTGAAGGAACTCAAAGTCCGCATCTTGCTGCTGGCCTAAATCAGCTAAAGCCCAAAATACAGGCCATGTGAAATGTAATGCCACGGCTCCTTTTGAACCCCTAAAGTGTCTATGAGCGCGTTCTAGAGGATAAGGGAGGATAAGCCACACATAACCTTCTGAAATTGTCGAAGCACCCTCAAGGCCCAAAACCCTCAGCCCTGAAATGGCCTTGTCCGTCTTGTCATCCGTGGACAAATACTCCTCCAACTCGGCCGGATCTGCAGGCACCCACCTCGCAAGCAGGCTTCAAACATGGTGGCTTTCGAGGTATGAAGCTAGCTGGGTGGGTGGTGAAGGGGCCTCACTACAGAAACATATGTTTTTTTTTTTTTTTTGTGGGGGTGCAGTATACTATCTGCTGTTATCTACACGGGGGTTGTGAGGGAACAATACTGCTAAGTCTCTAGCTGCTACATTAGGCACCCAACCTTCCCCATTATTTCTGGCTACCAGCAATGTTTGTTGAACTCTCTTCATTCTCTTCAAAATCCTGAAGTATTGCGATTGTTACAAGTCCTCAAGACCCCCTATCAAACCGCAATCCTTCCTGGCTCCCTCAGGGCTTCAGCACAAGAACCTATCATGTCTTTTCGTAGAGAGACGTGCCTGATAGGAGATAACACCATCGACACCCGTTGAGATATAGTCCCCCTTAAGTAG